TGCCAATAACAACATCTGTAATTTGAATGTGGTATAGTCAAATTACTAGCAGTTAACAACGAGTGCATGTTGAATGTTTCCATACACGGTTATTGCATGTTCTTGCTTCCCGAGTTTAGGTGCAGTCTTCACACTTTCAGGTAAGACACTTACAAACTAAATGTTAACAGGATAAAATTCAGTGGATAACCCATAGTTATTCAACTGATGAAGCGAGACAAATTCAATTTCAAAGGTAAGTCCAGTTAAAATGCACCAGTGTCTATAAAGCAAATATTTACGACAAGGAAAGAATGTAATGTGGAGTTATGATGAAACATAATAACAGGAAAAAGATTTAAAATAAAAACCCTGGTGAAGAAACTTTAAAATGCAGTTAACACATGTAATTCAGTTATATCAATACAGCTCATATGCAATTTTTTCAACAGGGTGAAACACAAATCTGACAGCTGAAGTGAATTACAGTGTGAGCAATGTGGGACTGGGAATTGGACAGACAGCTGAAGCTGTTATTGCACTGTAGTGGCTGTTAGTTTCCAACACAGAAATATGATCGGTCAAAACCACCTGATATGAACCAGGCCATCTTTACCCACCTAATGTGAGACTCTTATGGTTAATTATTAGCTTGAGTCTTTCATAACCCTAGCTTGCAGAGAGCTTAATGACAAGCACTTAAATCGCCATCTGAAAGTAGTAATCTGTTATATGTGCAGTTTTTATATTACTGTCTTAAGTTTATAAGTTCTTTTCTGCTGGTCCTCTGTTTTATGAGACCATATCTGTGTTATGTTTAAACTGCAACAGTTTTACTTCAGATGTAATAATTATAATCAGGTTTCTGGCTTTACAAATATTAACACATATGCCTTGGCTGTATAAACTTTTGTGATGCAGATGTTTAGCTGGAAAGATGTTTAGCTGCTTTTGTTTTCCAAGCATCATGGTTGAAACACAATAAAAGTGTATGATTTTTTTAATCCCAGGAATTTAATCTAATGCAGAGGCTTGTAAATGTAGCAATACACACAGTCCATGTCAAACAAAATTAAAATGAAATGCTTGTTTTGGAAACAAACTGATACTTTTACTCTCCAAGGTTGTATAATGTTACAATTGTCTAGTTCTGTTGAATATAAATGCTACTTTTCCGTCTATCAGAACAATCCTTTGCAGGAATGCCAGCTATGATAAACTGGAGATACTCATCCATCATTTTATTGAGATATTCAGGTAAGATTTCATCTCATGCTTTCAATAATATTTTTTTCTCATGATTAATGTCAAATTCAATGCATTAACCATTTTAGCCTTTTCTTCTAATTTGCCAGTTTCAGATCCTTCAGATCAAACTGATGTTTGACAGACATTTTATGTCTATTTCTCAAACTAGAGACTGCATGTGCCGTTTGCTTTAGTTATTGTGCATCTGTGCCATCCACATCTCTTTCTCATACAAAACATAATCATTTGTCTAATAAGAAGACAGTATAGTAAGGCAAAATATGCCGACTCCCAAAACAGACGCTGTTCTGGAAGGTAAGATTCCTTATTTAAGCCAATGACGGAGTAAGTTTTTAACTTTCCACTGTTAAAAAATGGAAATGCAAACTTAATCTCAAACAAATGGATCAGTGTTTGAATTGCTCTTGTTTACACCCTTTAGGAAGTCAAACCAACTAACCTATAGTGACTCTACATGTCAAACTGGGATTAGAGGAAGTCTTTGAACATCCAAAAGAGTCAAACCTCCCCTAAAGGTCAGAGGTCACTCATTCAAGCACAATATTGTATGGATTCTATGAAAATGGGATGGATTCATAAGCTAATGTTGCTATATCACGCCGCTCAAACAAATTAATCGATGTTTGAAACTCTTTTGTTTACACGTAGGAAGTCAAATCGACTTACTCTACATGTTAATCTGGATTGGAGGATGGAGGAAGTAGCCTATTGTAATGTGGAGAAAAGACAAATTTTCCCTAAAGAACAGAGGATCCTCATTCAAGCGATTCGCGCTCCGCAGTCCCGATCTAAATTAAATGATTCACGATCTGCGTTTTGAAGTCCCAATCTGAATCAGATGAGTCATCAAAACAGTGAATCATTATGCGACACAATGGTTTAACTGATTTTGAGTTTCGAAAAGCTGTTTTATCCAACACTACATGCTTTTTCAAATCATTACAAGCAATGTAGAAATTTTCAAATGAATGGCTCTTTTGATCTGTTTTAGCTAGTGAATTGAGTTTGAGTTTTAATCCGTTGGAGCTGTTCCAGCCATGTTTACACGACACTGTCAGTACTATTACTGGCTTATCTCACTAGTTTTATGACATTAAGTGAAAAAGCATGATGTTTACAAACAAAACAAAATCCAGTCATCTAATACCATTGAAGTGAATGTTGAACAGTGCACGGTTATATATGGTAATATCAGTGGTATACTTCAGATGCGGCCGAAATTACAACCATGTTGTAATACATATTACAATATGGTTACATATACATATATTTAATTGTTAGTAGTGACTGGATATTGGTAGGGACACAGCGTTCTACGCCCTTGGCTCTTGAGAACAAAATGTTGTTTTAAGATCTTCGCAAACTTATTCCTTCACCTTCAGTTATTCCTGTATTGCTCTTTATGCTCATTTTATTATTTGAAATCCATAACGCAGTAGATATGTCTCAGTTTTCATTCTTTCCCATAGGCTTTTGTATAGTTTTTACGTCAGGCTATGTGTTGGTTGGTAGGTTTTAAAGAAACACAAACCTCCGCTAAAGGTCAGTGGTCACTCATTCAAGCTCAATATTGTACAGATATTGGATGGAAAAACTGGATGGAATCATAAGACTTTAACTTCTGTACCACTAGTGTTAACAAATGAAATGCAAACCTAATGTTGCTCAAACAAATTGTTCAATGTCTGAACCTCTCTTGTTTGCACTTTTACCTATTAACAGTGACTCTACTGTGATTGGAGGAAGTATTTTAACATGGAAAACTTCCTGTAAAGGTCAGAGGTCACACGTCCAAACACAATACTCCACTGATCTTGGATGGAAAGACATACACTGCTCCTTACACTCGTCGTCTTCTTCACTGAATGCACAATTTTCTATCATTAAAAAGCATCCTAAAAAGGAATCTTCTCCAACTGTAGGAAATGTTGGATGGTGGCAGCTGTGTTTGTGTCTGGACACCCCCAAATCTCTTTTGAAGCTCTGGGCCAGTGATGTTAGTTGCATTTACATGCCCCCTGGTCCTCACCTATTGACTTACTTTATTAAATAAACGCCTCTGAAATCCTTCCACCAAAGTGAGGCTTTATAGGATTAGACTTGCACAAACAGCTCTCCATCAGAGGGATCTACTGCTAACTTCACTACCCCCTTCCTCGGTTGGGACGGAGCACTACTAAACATTGGCGTCACCAAACGACGAGCTAATGCATGCATCTACAGCTGTGACCCACCGGACTTTCCACCAATGACACGCCTTAGACCTGCTGCCATGGGCCTGTCCATACTCACCATTTAAAACCTGCCAACCAACACACACCCCTACCAAATAACCACCAACACCTGTGGAAAATAGTGAATACGGAGACATATCTACTGCTTTATGGATATGGAATAACAAAAAGAGCATAAAGAGCAATACAGGAATAAATAAAGACAAAGGAATCCATTTCAGACGTTTTGTGCTCAAGAGCTCCTGGTAAACTCTGACGACTTAGGTAAAAACTCACTTCACTCCTGCTTATAACTACTATATTTCATGTTCAACTGTTCTGCCTCAATTTTTTTTTTTTTTTTTAGATTTTATGTTAAATGGAAAGTGTTATCAGTGTCTTACAATTTGATACATATTGCAGCAAAAATATATAAATTGCCATTCAAAAATTCAAACAAACAATTTGGAAATATAGGAATGATTTTGTGATTTTGATCTTCTCAACTTCATAACTTGATGTAAAAACATACTGTGTAGCAGTGTTGGGTGTAATTAGTTACTAAGTAATTAGTTACGGTAATTTAATTAAAAAGTAAAGTAAGGGATTACTCTTATGTTTTCTGTAATTTGATTACAGTTACTTCTTATGTAACAACTTACTACTGTGTATAGACTGTAGAACATTTATATACAATAGTGGATTTAACATCAAAATTTAAAGTCTAACCATAAAATGCACGCTTTTTATGGTATACCCTTCTCACTTTAAATACTTTGGTGAGTAAATAAGAATATTGGTAACACTTTAGTGTCCAATTTTCAGTATTAACTTGGTTATTAGCTTGAATATTACTGGGATATTGACTGTTTATTATTACTTAAAAAACATATATTAATGTATATTCTGCAAGACCTTATTCAAAATCCTTAATCCTACCCAATTCTTAAACTTAACTACTTTACTGCGTATTAATAAGCAGTAATCAGGCGTATATTGAGGCAAAAGTCATAGTTAATAGTTAGTTAATAGTGAGAATTGGACCCTAATCTAAAGTGTGACCAGAATAATTTATGTAGTTATCTATTATTTATTTGAAAGGATTAAAAGAACTGTTTCATGTCTATCCTTGTATCATTAACTTGTCGAGTTTGATATAGGATTTAGAAAGTAATTAGTAATACGTAATTAAATACTTTTTGGAGAGAGTAATTTGTACAGTAATCTAATTACACTGTTGAAGATGTAATTAGTAACTAATAATCAATTACTTTTTTAGAGTAACTTACCCAACACTGGTGTGTAGGCACACTTAAAATGGTCTTTTAAACTAATTTCAAGCTTATAAACAAGCTTAAGCATATGAGAAACAAATTCTATCATGTGTCCCAATTTCTTACTGGTTTTAGTATATATTAAGTTTACTGTATCGTTTAGATCTAAATAATTATTTTAATTTTGTCCTCAGATAATTTAATTAATTCTTTAATTGCAGTTTCTTGACTTGATGGTGAAGAACGTCAGCTCTTCAGAGACACAATGAAGTTTCTGCTCGTGTCTCTGCTGGGGTTTAATCTGGTCGTGGTCATGGGGTGAGATGTTTTACTACAGCCTAACATTAAAACATACAAATGATTACACATTTTTAAATTGTGCCATTTGTTTGTTCGCTTAGTTAATCTTAGGGTTAGTGATTTAAACAAACCCCTAATACTAAGTAACTTTAGCACAGGAACTGTAAATGTATTATAATCTCATTGGTCACTGATGAACTCTTCTTTGATTCAGGCACTGGTGTGAACGTGTGGTGGAGGAGAAGGTGGAGAGGTTGGTGTCCCCCCGTGTTCAGCGTGAGGTGGAATGTTCTGCCGTCTATCAGTTCAACACTCAGGGCTGGAGGCTGGATGTGGAGCGAATGAGGCACGAACACGCAGGAGACGACGGCATCGCACTTTATTACAAGAGACAGGGACCTAAAGCTTCCTGTTACATATTCAAGTGAGGAAAACATCAGTATCCCACACTGAAAAAAAAATCTGTGACATTTACGGTAAAATACTGGCAGCTGTGGTTGCCAGAACTTCACTGTAAAAAGTATGGTAGCAACATTTTAGGTATTACAGACTTAACTTAAATTCACAATAAAATACCGTATTTCATTAACTGATGTAATGTTAATAAACCAACATATTGAAGTGTTAATATCTGTTTTGAACCATTGTAATGCACTGATAACCACCAAAAACTGGTGGCGATGAGAAAGTCACCTGATGAACCAAAGCTCATCACAGCTTTTCTACGAGCTGCGGAGGGCAATACTTATATATAGAAGGTGCACAGTGTCATTCACACAAACACTAAACCCCATCACGGTAACACACATGATACTGAAATAATGCAATAAACATTCATTTAACAACATTAGAAAAACCCTAATGTACACAACTGATAAGAAAAAACAAATAAACAAAAACTGGTGGCGATGAGAAAGTCACCTGATGAACCAAAGCTCATCACAGCTTTTCTACGAGCTGCGGAGGGCAATACTTATATATAGAAGGTGCACAGTGTCATTCACACAAACACTAAACCCCATCACGGTAACACACATGATACTGAAATAATGCAATAAACATTCATTTAACAACATTAGAAAAACCCTAATGTACACAACTGATAAGAAAAAACAAAGAAAAAATATGTTATTTCAACAAAAAAGCATCAAATATGAAGCGTCATGCAGGGAATTCTGGGAGTGTCAATTTACGGTTTCTGACTGTAAATTATACAATGACTTTTTCTTTTTCACTTCCAAAAAAACATATTTTTAACAGTATTTTACTGTAAAATTACATTCAATGTAATTACATTTATTCACCGAATATAGTATGGTTTTTTAACAGGTTTTTACTGTAGCATCCACCAATGACACGCCTTACACCTGCTGCCATGGGTCTGTCGATACTCACCGTTTAAAACCTACCAACCAGCACACAACATGACCAAAGAACTGCTCAACACCTGTGGAACAGAGTGAATACAGAGACGTATTCACTGATTTATGGATTTATTTGGACTTACAAAAAGAGCGTAAAGAGCAATACAGGGATAAATAAAGACATAGGAATCAATTAGTAAAGATCCGAAAACATCAGACGTTTTGTGCTCAAGGGCTTCTGATAAACTCAGGTAAAAACTCACTCACTTCACTCAGACTTAAGTAACTAATTACTATGTTTCATAACTGGCGTCACTGCCTTTTAAAAGCGGATGTCCTGGTCTAAATATGGGAATGATTTTGTGATTTCACTCCAGACGTTAATCAACCAACTTCATAAAGTGCATTCTGGGATGCTTTGCACATTATTGACGGAGGAACATGATAATTTAGCATGAAAGACAATTATAAGTATGTTGGTTAGGGTTAGGGTACAATTTTACAATTTAGTGTATGTGTGTATATATGTGTGTATATATATATGACATAAAAAAACTTTGTGATTAAAATATATATTTATTTACATTTTTTTAATTGATTCATATATATGCTTTTATGAATATGTATATTCTACTTATTTTCTATACAAGTTTTTATATATATATTTGTAAATTGTAAAGATCTTAATGCATATGCACACTTATAATTGTCTTTTAAACTAATTTTGAGCAGGCGTTTCTATCATTTATATCAAATTCTATCATGTGTGTCCAAATTTCTCACTTGTATGGAGTTTACCGTATCATTTAAATCTTAGATGGGCATTTCATCCTCAAATAATTTAATTTAATTTAATCTTTAAATGCAGTTTCTCGACTTGATGGTGAAGAACTTCAGCTCTTCAGAGACACAACGAAGCTTCTGCTCGTGTCTCTGCTGGGGTTTAATCTGGTCGTGGTCATGGGGTGAGATGTTTTACTACAGCCTAACATTAAAACATACAAATGATTACACATTTTTAAATTGTGCCATTTGTTTGTTCGCTTAGTTAATCTTAGGGTTAGTGATTTAAACAAACCCCTAATACTAAGTAACTTTAGCACAGGAACTGTAAAATTCATTATAATCTCATTGGTCACTGATGAACTCTTCTTTGATTCAGGCACTGGTGTGAACGTGTGGTGGAGGAGAAGGTGGAGAGGTTGGTGTCCCCCCGTGTTCAGCGTGAGGTGGAATGTTCTGCCGTCTATCAGTTCAACACTCAGGGCTGGAGGCTGGATGTGGAGCGAATGAGGCACGAACACGCAGGAGACGACGGCATCGCACTTTATTACAAGAGACAGGGACCTAAAGCTTCCTGTTACATATTCAAGTGAGGAAAACATCAGTATCCCACACTGAAAAAAAAATCTGTGACATTTACGGTAAAATACTGGCAGCTGTGGTTGCCAGAACTTCACTGTAAAAAATATGGTAGCAACATTTTAGGTATTACAGACTTAACTTAAATTCACAATAAAATACCGTATTTCATTAACTGATGTAATGTTAATAAACCAACATATTGAAGTGTTAATATCTGTTTTGAACCATTGTAATGCACTGATAACCACCAAAAACTGGTGGCGATGAGAAAGTCACCTGATGAACCAAAGCTCATCACAGCTTTTCTACGAGCTGCGGAGGGCAATACTTATATATAGAAGGTGCACAGTGTCATTCACACAAACACTAAACCCCATCACGGTAACACACATGATACTGAAATAATGCAATAAACATTCATTTAACAACATTAGAAAAACCCTAATGTACACAACTGATAAGAAAAAACAAATAAAAAACATGTTATTTCAACAAAAAAGCATCAAATATGAAGCGTCATGCAGGGAATTCTGGGAGTGTCAATTTACGGTTTCTCACTGTAAATTATACAATGACTTTTTCTTTTTCACTTCCAAAAAAACTTATTTTTAACAGTATTTTACTGTAAAATTACATTCAATGTAATTACATTTATTCACCGAATATAGTATGGTTTTTTTAACAGGTTTTTACTGTAGCATTTTTACAGTCTTTTACTGTTAAAATCACAATAATTTTTTACAGTGCACTCATTCTGTCAGATCCGATACGTTTCCTCAGTTATGTCAAACATATGCATTAATATTAGGATTGTACAGACTGTAAAAAGAGGAGAAAAGCATAAACTGACTTTTTTGGTGTAAACTGGTGGCTCTCAACAAGGGGGCTTCAAGATTTAAAATGAGCTAAAACAACAAAAACTCCAGATGAAAAGAGACATCATATTCAGTGTTGGTAAAACCTGAATATATGAAGAACTTTTAAAAGTGCAATTTCTAGAAGATAATAAAATCTTGGAGTAGTGAAAATGTGCGTATTTGTCATCAGAATTCCTAGAAATATATTTTGCCTTAATTTAATGTTTTTGTCTTTTAAAAGCATGCATTGATCAGACTGTCCACCAAAATCAAAATGAATTATTTTTTATAGATATTTTTTGACATATTTTGCCACATAATTCTTAATATTGTAATGAAAAAATAAGCACATTTTAGGCTGCCAAAATTTACTATTGTTGTAAATTTACTGTGCTATTTATATTCAAATGTGTAATTAAATTGACATATATTAACCCCTTTTTTTTAACTAAATCACGTTGTTACTCGTTGTGTCCTTTTATCTTACACCTTTCACCCTATGATTATTCAGATATTGTAAGGATAGTCAAATCTAGCCTAAACCATGAAGTACTCACCTGCCTGAAGGTTGAAGTTCTTCAGGAATGATGCAGAAGACTCCCTTGTGGTTGTTCTTGTTTGAAGCTCACTTTGTAATTATAAGTAAAGTCTCATGGGAGGCAATTGTAATTAATGTATTAATGTCTGTGACTCATGTCTAATAAGATGAATGTCCTTCCCCTGTCTGCATCTAGCACTCCTCCTCTTCTTCAATGTAGTGTTTGTCTGTCTCATCTCCGCTTGATGCTCTCTTCACCACTATGTTCCTTCTTGTTATTAACATTTGTGGTTGATTACAGAGCATCAAACTCAGACATCTAACTTTCACAACTATTGCTTATTCATCCTAACAAAGTGAATATTGCAAGTGCAACCACTTTTTATATTAAAGCATGTATGGCATTAACCTAAAAACAAGCAAATAACATAACATTGAAACAGGTAAATAACAATATCAATATCCAAAACAAAGTTATGACCACATCACATGTATGTGTTTTGTTGAGCGCTGGTGTTTTTGCCTCTCAGACCTCCAGACATTGAGACAGAGACAGTGAACCGGACGGTCAGACAGTGTTGTGAAGGCTGGGCCGGACCTGGCTGCTCACAGGGTGAGATCAGATGGATTTTCAGTCTACGTATGATATCAGATGTTGAATTTGTTGTAGAATATGCTCTTATTTCTCTTTCTACATTATGCAGAGGACGTCTTATTCGTGTATTTCTGGTCATATCTTTTCTGTCTATCTCTGTCCAGGGGTTGGTGCCCGGGGACAGTGTTTCTCCACCTGGACGTGTGAGGAGTTTCCCGGGCTTCATAACACGTCTCTGATGGCTCTGGAGCAGTGCTGCAGTAACCTGTGGGGCTTAAGCTGGAGAAACGCATCCGATCAGACCTGTCTGTCCTGCACCTACATGCTCCTGCCAGGTTATTAGTGTTCATCACATCACTCATAATGCATTTGAAATGCACTTAAAATATCCATCCATTTGTATTACACAGTTTTAGGCAAAATAATAAACTTACTGTGATGCATATTTGTCATATAAATGAAAGAGGTCAAAAAGTATGAGCATGTTCAAAATATAGCTGTGGAACTCTTTAACTAATTCAGTTAATTAAAATGTATGAAATTGAAACACATTCAGTTTTTTAGTACTGTTACAGACATCTGATCTGTTTCATTCATGTATGACTGACAAGTAAGCATCACATTAAGGTTTTTTTTGTTGTTGTTGTTAAAACTGTGTTATCCAAATTAACTAAAAATTTACATGCAATTCAAATACAAAAGTCTTAAATTTACAGCTACATATTTTCCTCAAACTATATATCCTGGTTCTTTACTGACTCAAACGCTGTCTCTCCTCAGACGTCAGCTCTTCTCCTGTGGTTCGTGGAGGGCTGTTTCGCGGTGTTCGTGGTCTGCAGGCGTCTGGCACCTGTATGAGCTGGGGCGGGACACACTACCGCACCTTTGACCGGAAACACTTCCACTTCCAGGGCAGCTGCACGTACCTGCTGGCCTCATCCACTGACGGGACGTGGGCCGTGTATATGAGCACAGAGTGTGATCCTGCGGGACACTGCCGGAAGGTACAAACACACACTCGCTATGAGTTCATATTCACACACACCTGTTTTATATGTCTATAAAAGTCATTATGAACTCAAAATGGATCATATTTTCTTTCCTAATACTAGTTTCTGTTGCATAATTTGTTTAGTCCAAATACTGTTCTATTCTAAAAATTCTATTTTGTCTTAATTCATCAAAAGCATCCATCAAATTAATTCCTATTGGATTCAATCAAATTTCGTCCGAATCCTTCATTTTATTTCTTGTTGAATATCTAGTCTGAAATATGTCACATTCTGAAGCAAAATTGGTTGCAAATGCCATTTCACGCAAATGAAATCAAAATGGACCTTATTTAAATTCTTAAAACTTGTTTCTAATCTTATTGGGCACAATTTATTTATTCTAAAGACTATTGCATTTTAAAAGCATGTTCCTCTCATCTTCATTAATCTTTCATTAAAAAGTAAATTTTTCCCAAAGACCTTTCCTTTATCAAATTAATTCCTGATGGATAAAATCAAGTTTCATACTGCAATTTATTCCTTGTTAAAACCCCATTTTTGTCCGAAGTGCTTCACATTCAGAGGCAAAATTTGTTACAACCTGCATTTAACACACTTACAGTATATTCACACACACATATATACATATACAGTCTATTAAAGTCAACATGACGTCAAAATTGACCATATTTATTTTCATATTTTCTTTCCTAATACTAGTTTCTGTTGCATAATTTGTTTAGTCCAAATACTGTTCTATTCTAAAAATTCTATTTTGTCTTAATTCATCAAAAGCATCCATCAAATTAATTCCTATTGGATTCAATCAAATTTCGTCCGAATCCTTCATTTTATTTCTTGTTGAATATCTAGTCTGAAATATGTCACATTCTGAAGCAAAATTGGTTGCAAATGCCATTTCACGCAAATGAAATCAAAATGGACCTTATTTAAATTCTTAAAACTTGTTTCTAATCTTATTGGGCACAATTTATTTATTCTAAAGACTATTGCATTTTAAAAGCATGTTCCTCTCATCTTCATTAATCTTTCATTAAAAAGTAAATTTTTCCCAAAGACCTTTCCTTTATCAGATTAATTCCTGATGGATAAAATCAAGTTTCATACTGCAATTTATTCCTTGTTAAAACCCCATTTTTGTACGAAGTGCTTCACATTCAGAGGCAAAATTGGTTACAATCTGCATTTAACACACTTACAGTATATTCACACACACATATATACATATACAGTCTATTAAAGTCAACATGACGTCAAAATTGACCATATTTATTTCACTAATACTTGTTTCTGGTCTTATTTTGCATAATTTGCTTATCCTAAAGACCATTCTATTCTAAAAACAAGTTTTGTCATCATAATCTTTAATCAAAAAGTAACATTTTTGCAAAGACTTCTCCTTTAAAATTCAAAATGATTCCTTATAGATGAAGTTATGGATGAATGTGTATTCTAAACACACCTTTCATCGAAAATGAACCATTTCCAAAGAATTGTCCTTTACATGTATTAAATCAAGTCCCACATTCTTGCTGAATATCCTGGTTTTCTGTAAAATACATCACATTCAGAGATAAAATTGGTTGCAAATGCTATTTCATGTTGACGCTGAGACCTCTGTTATGTTGAAATTGTTGCAGAGGTTCAGTTTAAAGTTTTAGCCTATATGACTATCTTTAGGAAACTTGTTTTGTGCCTTTGTTTGATGAAAAAAGAATCAATCAATTAAATAAATTTTTATAAAATTAGCTCATATTCTCATCACACTCATTTTTGCATCTAGCTTCAGTTTGTTCCAGTTCATTATGAGCAGATATTCTTCTCAGATTATTTTCCAGCAAACAAAACAATCATTTATCAAAAATTGACATCTGCTTCTACAGAAAACAATGAAACCAAAAAAACAGAAACTTGGCAGCTTGTGTTGAACATCAGTCACACACAAAGCACATAATAGGTTTTGGGAGTTTGTGATATGATCATCATTCTTTATGTTGAGTATGGTTGTTTTTTGTGTTTTGTGCAGTAATTGCAGACAGCTGGTGGTTCTGGCTGATGTTTGTGTGGTTGTTTTGTGTTTTAGGGACTGCGGTTGATGTTGGGTCTTGGCTTGGTGTCCATATATAAAACCAATATGACTGTTAATGGTTTAACACTACCGCAGGGGGAACCTCTCTTCCAAAACGGTATGAAAAACACAGAGCTACTTTCATAACTACGACTACAGTATATCATGTTATGTACCGCAGTTTCAAAACTCATCTTTATCCAATGGCATAAGTTTGATGCAGTTTATGTTAGATTTATATCCTGTTATAGTTTTAGAAATATTTTGAATAAGCTTTTATTTTAATGATTTCAGGTTTATTTATTTATTTTAATTTTTGTTTTTTTATGTGCTTTTGTCATTTTTATTATTTGTAATATTATGAATTTCATTTATTTTTATTTCAGATTCAGTTTTACTTCTAGTTCGTAATTTTAGTGCTTGTACGTTTTTGGTTTAGTTGCAAAGGCAACATTTTTATTTCGTTTTTTTAGTTTTTCATCTAAAATGTTCTTTTCTTTCAGTGTTTTTATTTTCTAAAGCACATTTATAAAAATACTTAAATGTCCTAATTGAACTATGGCCTAATCCTGGCTTAACCTAAGCCCTGTCTGCATGTGAAACCAGGCCATTATGTTTTATTTTAATGAACAAAAATGCTGTTAATAGCTTTAGTTCTAGTTTTTGATTTAGTTAACGATAATAACCCTGACTTTCTTTTTGAACAATGGCACAAGGCAGAATGGAGTATTTCTATTCTCAAAGAGGTCATTTTGGGAAGTTATTACATTTTATGTTTTTTACTAAGCATATGTGTATGTATTCTGTGTGATGAAAGTGTGTTTCTTGTGCCGTCAGGAGTCAGCGTTCACTGGCTGGGTGACTTTGTGTTTGTGGAGAGTGGTTTGGGTGTCAGACTGAAGTTTGACATGGAGAACACGGTGTATCTGACCGTTACGGCTGAACACATCACTGCCACCAGGGGACTTTGCGGCGATTATAACAACAACCCAGATGGTGAGAACGTTTGGCGTGGTTTGACTTAGTTGCAAAATCTGACATTACACTCTTTTCATGCATTTCTAATGCGCTGTATACTTGCAGTGTTTTACATGCAATATGCAATGCAATGTTTATATTTCATACAGATGACTTCACTACCAGCAGTGGAAGTGTGTCTCCGTATGCTGCCAGCTTTGGAAACTCATGGCGTGTTCAAGATCAGCAAGGCCAGGTGGGAAACATTTTTTTATATATATATATATATACAATTGGAATAAACAACAATTATTTCTAAATAGCAATAGCATTTTTTTAAAGGTTTCTAAATAGCATTGCTCATGTTTACATAATCATATATTTTATAAATATCCATATACCCTGTTTTGGATGGAAGCATACAGTAACTGTCTAAATAGAGTTGAGTTAAAGTCACAATAGCATTGTTGCTGTGTTCAACACACACTCATACAAAAAGCTAAATTAATAAATAAATATTTCATTAAAATAAATAAATTGATTCAAATAATAAAATCGAAATCGGCTGATAAAAGCTGTCCAAGTTTAAGTAATAATAACACAGTAATGCAGCATCTTTAATGCAGGTTCTATTTGACACTATAAATCACCCTTAGTTCAAGCCGGGTTGCCAGATTTATTATTTTACCTTCACCTAACATTATTTGTAATGCACCTCATCCAGTAATCGCAAAGAGCTTTTTTTTTTAAGAAGTTGCACTTTATTACAAGTTATAGCATGAAATAAAAAAAGGTACTATGTATTGTGAAATACGCTATATAAACGAAAACTGTATTGAATTAAAAACCTCTGGCCCAAAGCATTGTGGGTAGTGTAGTCTTATTGTTGTGATGTCTAACACACAGGTGTGTAGTGATGCAGCAGAGCTGGGTCACAGCTGTGATCTGTCCAGTGACATCTCTCTCCGGCGGGACGCAGAAACAGCCTGTCACCGTCTCAAAGAGAGTCCGTTCTCACACTGCCATCACCAGGTTAGACTAAACTAAATATAAACTAGATCATTAAACTAACAGAGTTCAGGACTAACATCCTCTCGGTCTGCTCAGGTGGATCCCGGTCCATATATCGACACGTGTCTGTATCTGTACTGCAGTGTGGATGTGAAGGACAGAGATACGGCAGTGTGCGACACATTAGCCAGCTACGTGCGCGAGTGTGCTCAACAACATGTCATCATCCGCTGGAGGAGCGCCGGCTTCTGTGGTACTTCATACTTCAGCTTAAACTGACTTCTGTTGGTTCATTTTGTAATATTCAATCATATTTTTTTGCTATTTTTAAAATATATTTTCACACAATCTGTCAAAACACTGGATCATATTTCAACTTCATAAGATGATTGGAAATTTTATGTCAGAACAAGATTTAATTAACACTATATAGGGTATTTTCGGATGCTATTCATAGTGGTTATTAGCATTGAAAAATCTCATGGTTAACATTATTAATATTTTTTTTTTCAGAATGCTTGCATACTACTGCATGTTATACTGTAGTCTGCATGCTATTATTATTAAATATTATATGTGAAACAGTGCAAGTTATGCAATGACAAATATTTCACACTGTTGCATGTTGTCACATGACCTGTTGCATAATATTTCTGTCGTATTTTTGTCTGAAATATTAATATGATTACTATGCATTTTTGTTTCAGTGTTGTATAAAAATGTCTTTTTTACACAACATTTTTACACAACAAATAGGAGCTGAATGCATTGAAATTATGGGATACGGTATTCTATGGTTACTAACTGACTAAATAAGTTGAAGCACCAAAATTCAGACTTATAATAGTTAACTAAATCATTTTCATTGCTTTAAATAAAATAAACTTTAAATGAAATAAAATTAAATGCAAAAATATTTAATTTAGTTTAACTTGATGTCTAAAATAACTCAAGCTAAAAATTAAATAAAGATAAAATAAATAGTAAATAGTAAATTAAACTTAAATAGTAATATTGACAAAAAAAATTTGCGATTTAAAAATAAATACTAATTAAAAATATTAATAAAAGTTGTAATAGTTTATAAATTATGCTAAATGAATAACAGTGGTATGTACTGTAAAAATAGCATGATTAGATTAGCTTTCAATCCTTAAAGTGGATAAAAAATGGAATGCCCTGAAACAAAAACAAAAAAAATGCATTTATTAAAATATTTTTGAATAAAAAAAAATATGTTTGTCATATATTTTAAGGCTATATATTTTTTCAAATATATTTATATATTCATTAAGTTTTAAATACCTACATTTATTTCCATCCGCAGAGCGTGCTTGTCCGAGCGGTCAGGTGTTCTCTGACTGTGTGTCGTCCTGTCCCCCCACCTGCTCGTCTCCTCGTCCTCCGGCGTCGGGTCAGTGTCGGGACGAGTGTGTGGGGGGGTGCGAGTGTCCCCCGGGACTCTACCTACACGCAGGTCAGTGTCTGCGGCGGGACGACTGTCCCTGCTTCCACAGACGCCACAGCTACAGCGCAGGAGATGCCATCAGACAGCGCTGCAACACCTGGTGAGTCAAGCCTCACGCATGCAGACAGAAACCACTGTAGCCTGTGTGCTTCGGTTGAAGGTCCCTGTTACTATCTTTCCGTCTCCCAGTGTGTGTCACTCCGGTCAGTGGGAATGTTCTGGAGAGAAGTGTGAAGCTCAGTGCGCTGTGATCGGAGCGATGCACATCACCACCTTCGATCAGAAGAGATACGGCCTGCAGGCCGGCGACTGCCGCTTCACAGCTGTAGAGGTCAGTGACCGCGAGGAGACGGATCTACAGCTGCACTGTGTGTCTGAGATCATCTGAAAGCATCTCTCTGCTGTGTTTGCAGGATTTTGTGGATAAAAAGCTCTCTGTCAGCATCAGCGGAGGACCGTGTGCAGGAGGAGCAGCTGGATGTCTGAGAGAAATGACGGTCACTGCGTTTCATACGACAGTCACTGTCACAGATACAGGTCATCTATCCATCTGTACATCTATAGATAGTTAGTTAATGAGATTTCTAAAGATGGTTCTTCCACTTTAAGATTCGATTTTGTAGATTTCTTAAAGTTTTGTGGCATTTAAAAATGATTTGAAACTTGTATTTAAATCTTTTGTGCAGGAGGAGCAGCTGGATGTCTGAGAGAAATGACGGTCACTGCGCTTCATACGACAGTCACTGTCACAGATACAGGTCATCTATCCATCTGTACATCTATAGATAGTTAGTTAATGAGATTTCTAAAGATGGTTCTTCCACTTTAAGATTCGATTTTGTAGATTTCTTAAAGTTTTGTGGCATTTAAAAATGATTTGAAACTTGTATTTAAATCTTAAAATTCAAGTGAAAGAAGTGCCTTATAACTCTCTAAAGAACTTTCAATAGCCTATATATTGATTAATCCCACCTTAAACAAAATTAAAACTTAATTTATTAAATTGAATACATTTAATTTATTTTGAATTTGCTTTTATATATTTTGATATTTATTATTTGTACGTTTAGTTTGTTTGTTTATGACAGCATAAAGTAGTTTTATGCATTTGTTTATTTATTGATTGAAATTAATTTATGTATTATTTATTTATTATAGTAGTTTATATTACATGTTTAGTTACTTTTATTGTTTATAAAATGTAAATTATTTTTTAAATGTTTTTAAAGAAGTCTCTTCTGCTTACCAAGGCTGCATTTATTTGATCAAAAATACAGTAAAATCAGTATAATTGTGAAATATTATTAGAATTTGAAATAGCTATTGTCTATTTGAATATATTTTAAAATATAATTTATTTCTGTGATCAAAGCTGAATTTCCAGCATCATTCCTCCAGTCTTCAGTGTCACATGATCTTCAGAAATCAGTATAATATGCTGATCTGCTGCTCAAGAAACATTTCTGATTATTATCAATGTTGAAAACACTTGTGCTGCACAATATTTTTGTGGAAACTGTGATACATTTTATTTTCAGGATTCACAGATGAATAGAAAGTTCATTGTGTTTTGTATACATTATAAATGTCTTCACTGTAACTTTTGATCAATTTATTGTGTATTTGCTGAATAAAGGTATTTGTTTCATGGATTGTAGATACACATTCTCATCGTGTTGTTGTGTTGGTCTCAGGTTCGGTGATGGTGAACGGTCAGCGGGAGCTGCTGCCGGTGATCACAGGAGATCTGATGGTCAGAAAGGCTTCATCCAGTGTTCTGCTGATCCAGGCGTTTGGAGCTCAGATGATGTGGCATCTGGACGGGCCTCTGCTCCTCATCACCCTACAGCCGGGATTCGCTCATAAGGTACCACATAACACACTGAACTCTTACTTGATTTTTGGTAGCTCTTTGGTAGCTGAAGCTGCAGTTATGGTGCTGTTTGTTGTGCTGTCAGGTTCGTGGTTTATGTGGCACTCTGACCTGGAGTCAGCGTGATGATTTCACCACACCTGAAGGTGACGTGGAGACCAGCGTGGCCTCTTTTGCTGCCAAGTTCAGAACAGGATCATGCCCTCTGCCCTCAGCGATGACCTCTGACCCCTGCGGGACACACACACAGCGCAGACGGTACGCAGAGAGCGTGTGCTCTGTGATTCACAGCGCGGTGTTTCAGGTCAGTGTGTTTCAGGTCAGTAGTGTTGGTCACTGGTCAATCGGTCGGTCGTTGCAGTGAAGCTGAAGCATCTGTTGCAGGCGTGTCATGATGTGGTGGACAGAGAGCCGTACATGCGTCTGTGTCTCAGTGAAGTGTGCAGCTGCGGCCCGCAGAACTCCTGCCAGTGCACCGTCCTCACTGCCTTCGCCCGGCACTGTGCCCAAGAGGGGGCGCCGCTCAGCTGGAGAAACCGCACATTCTGCTGTAAGAAACCGCTTGATTACATTCATATTTATTAATAATATCAATTAATTAAATATATCACTTAATGCATTATTATATATAATTTAATGTATAATCATTATGATTCAAAGTAGTGAAATCGCACATTCTGCTATAAGAAATGGTGTAATCCTAAAATATTACATGCGTTATGTTAATATTATATGATATTTTTAATATTTAGATTAATATTTCTATATGATTTAATATAATTATTAATATTATAAATAATATTACTATCAATACATAAAATATATTATTTTTATGCAATCATATATTAAATTATTTTTAACAATAAATATATGATATTTGTAATATTTGTAACTTTGCACATCCTGCTGTAACAAATGGTTTAATGATAATTGTAATATTATTTAATATTGTTTAACATGAATATTCATTTTAAATGTATATATATGTATTTAATCTATTCTTAAATAAGTTAATACATAATATATATCTTATTTAAAATAATATGAATAATTACTATTATGTAGTATTAAATAGTATTGTAAAAAGTCAAAGTGGTGTAAAACATTTGAGAAGTGCTCTGATACATTCCCAGATTGCATTGTAATGCATGTCGAGAGAATATCAATATCAAAAATATTGATGAAAATAGTTCAGTCTAATTAAAGATAATTTTCCCAGTGTATGAAGTGTTGTGTTTCCCCGCAGCGGTGCAGTGCTCTGGAGGGCAGGTGTATCAGGAGTGCGGGCGTCTGTGCGGGACGTCCTGTGCTGATCTGTGGGACGGCTGGAGCTGTGAGGAGCAGGAGGGCAGCAGGGTCTGTGTGCCGGGGTGTCAGTGTCCGGATGGACTGGCTCAGGACGATCAGGGTCAGTGTGTGCCGGTGGACGTGTGTCCCTGCAGACATGCAGACGCGCTCCATCCCGCCGGGAGCACCGTACAGAAGAACTGCAACCGCTGGTAGGAAATCACAGCATCTGATTCACACTCATGAGGGGTGACGTGTGGCTTTGTGCCAAAATAGCCAGGGCAGTGGTTTAGACTCAAGGCAGGGAACCAGAGGGTTGCTAGTTCAGATCCCTGCAATGAAAAAAGTCATGAACCTTGAGGAAGATACTGTACTTTCACACAAGTTGCTTCAAAGGGACTGAATCTGTAATAAGTTCATGGTAAATTTGTGGGCAAATTCAGCTTATTGTGATAAATATAGATGCTGTTCCAATTTTTTAAATGATTAATTATTAAATATTAGATAAGTTATAAATTAGAATTAATTATATTTCCCATACAATTTCCATACTTTGCTTTGAATTCCAGCTTGAATATCATTGAACCACATTTCAACCCAAAATCAAAATTGAATATTTTGCATAAATATATTTTTAGGTCTGTTTAGATTTTTTTTGTGCATTTTGACATATATTTTCATTAATAATAAGCATTTTCTCCATTAAATTTTAAAGGTGGGGTAAGCAATTTTTCAAAAACGCTTTAGAAAACTGTCCGAATAGCAAAACAAACTTGTAGCCAATCAGCAGTAAGGGGCGTGTCTACTCATGATGTGGAGGAGAGAGAGCGCTCAGTGCATTAGCGAGCCGAGCGACAAAAAGATAGAGATGGTGGATAAAAAACAAAAGGGGAAAACATCTGTGGAACAAAATAAGGCTTAAGGCATAAGGCCAGAAGTAGGACCCGTGTAAATATCAGATCAGCTTTCCAGCGCTGGAGAAAACTCAAGGAGCAGAAGGCCTGCGATCGGACGCCGAGGTTGCTTTGTTTCTTCTCGATCGGTGAGTAACACCGTGTCTGCGCCGCAACAGCTAAAGTCTGTCTAGTACACTGGACGCGACAAAGCGACCATTGAAAATCATATGAAATTTGTGTCAATATGTCATGAATAGAACGCAGCAGCAGTTTTCTGTCGGGGATTTGTCGTGCCGCGCTGCATCCAGTGTAGGCCATAGATATGTATATATATATATCTATGGTGTAGACAGCATCACTGATTATAATGAGTTCTATAGTATTTTGTCGCGCCGCGCCACTCGTGTCCGGTGTAGACACGGTGTAACATTGCTTTGGCTTTGTTTCACAGAACTAATCGTTGTCTGGGTTGCGTACGTATGTGTGGGGCGGAGCTATCAAAATAGGGGCGAGACCCTTTTGGGGTAGGGGCGTGTTTGTTTTGGTGATTTCAAATGTCAACATTGGCTACCAGAAATCACTTACCTCACCTTTAATGCAAAAAAAATATGTTTGCTACCATTTGTTTTATTTTGCTGTATTAGCTTCATTTATGCAATTTTGAATGAAATATTTTAGTATTTATTAAAAGATTTAATGAAAAGTGTAATATTTTAATTTACTTAAATATATTTGAATATAAATATACTTTTGAGGTTAAATATGACCTGGAAATAGAAATAAAAGGGAGAGCTATAAAGCAAAATGAAGCAATAGTGAGAGAGACAGATTGGTCCATCTGTCATCTCCTTTTAAGCTTTTTATGATCCTGTTGTTAAAAGCCTCTTGTCTGTTTTATGGTTCTTGAGACTGATTTTTTTCATCTGTTCTCTGATAACACAGCAAATATTCAGCAAAAATCACCTTTGTACTCAAACTAATGCATATATGTGGGCCAAAGAGAAACAAATTCATAAATCTCTGACCAGCAGAATATATATATGTATATTGCATATGTGTTATTTATAAAATATTGCATCAGTTGCATTGTCAGGTATGACCTGACATTTGAAATAATTGCTTTTATCAACTAGATTTTTTCTTTGTCTGAAGACAATATGAACAGTATTACAACCCCACAACAGTTACTAAGGTGTTCTGAGGGGTTGCTAGGGTGTTCTGGGTGGTTACTAAGGTGTTCTGAGTGGTTGCTAAGGTGTTATGGGTGATTGCTAAGGTGTTCTGGCTGGTTGCTAAGGTGTTCTGGGTGGTTGCTAAGGTGTTCTGAGTGGTTGCTAGAGTGTTCAGAGTGGTTGCTAGGGTGTCCTGAGCGGTGGCTAGGGTGGTCTGGGTGGTTATTAAGGTGTTCTGAGTGGTTGCTAGGGTGTTATGGGTGATTGCTAAGGTGTTCTGGGTGGTTGCTAAGGTGTTCTGAGTAGTTGCTAGGGTGTTCTGGGTGGTTATTAAGGTGTTCTGAGTGGTTGCTAGGGTGTTCTGGGTGGTTATTAAGGTGTTCTGAGTGGTTACTAAGGTGTTCTGAGTGGTTGCTAGGGTGTTCTGGGTGGTTACTAAGGTGTTCTGAGTGGTTGCTAGGGTGTTCTGGGTGATTGCTAAGGTGTTCTGGGTGATTGCTAAGGTGTTCTGAGTGGTTGCTAAGGTGTCTTGAGTGGTTCCTAGGGTGTTCTGGGTGGTTGCTAAGGTAAGGTAAGGAATTGTGCATCTGAGAACACCTCTGTTCAACACACACACGATCTGAAACACGATCTTGAGCTTGAGGTTGAGGTCTGCACTCTTCTCTGGTCATGGGCCATGTGGCTGGTTTTGCACGTGCCGTCCCGTGTCAGCGAGTGTTTGTGAGGTGTGAGGTATCTGATGAAGTCACTCTATGACCCGCGAGCTCGTGTCTCGGGATAGGTTGATTTCATTGCGTCTCTTGTGCCTTGAGATCAGCCGACACGTGCCGCTGTGCTTTATGGAGGCTGATATGGAGGCCGCTCCTCATGCTTGGTGTGGTAATGTGGAGTTTGGGTCAGACCCATACTGAAACGCAGCTCGAGATTGCACAAGCGGACACTTTTATAACGCGTTTCCTTACACCTCCACATGTGTGTGAGTACAGTATATGAGTAACACATGCTCTCAGATAAAAACAACAGATCCAGGGTTCAGCAGCTGAACAGCTGTTTTTGAGATTGTTCATCAGCAATTCTTTATGTTGTCACAATAAAAGTTTAACTTATCTAGATTTAATTAATTAATTAAGTCCTATCTGAATGACTGATTGATTGATTGATTTAATTCTAACTGGAATTATTTATAAAATATGTGTATTTAATTTCACTTTATTTTATTTTGATTATTTTATTCATTTATAAGTAACTGCATACAGATAGATTTTTTATTCATTGATAAAGTATATGTATTTTATTTTATTTTATCTAGATTGATTATTTATTTATTTATAATAAATTGTACTCTATCTATATTTATTTGTGTGTAAAGGTATGTATTTCATTTATTTGTTGATTGATAAAAATGGTATTTTAGAATTATTTTATTTATTTTCTTTGAGAATATTTTATTTATTTATAATTAAGTCATTGTATTTATCTAGATTTATTTGTCTATTGATACAAATGTATGCATCTCATTTTATTTAATATCTAGATTATTTAAATAATTTGTAATAATTAATGTTATCATATAAAATTAATAATTTTATTCAGTCTAGATTTATTTATTTGGTTTGATTCTCTGCACCTGTTGTTCGTCTAGGTCTAGGACACCTGTGTTAACTTGAGGAGAATTCACTTCATGCAGCCACTAAAAATGACCAAAAATACCTGATGATTTAAACACAATTCAAACACCCATTGAAGAGAAGTGACCTCAGTAAAGAGATCCTCCGAAATTTAAGATGCGCAGTCACAGACACTAGTGCGCATTTAACTTTACTGTTGACTTGTCAAACACTCGGTTATCTGCCTGTCTTGACTCTCCTTCTTTCTTGAAAGGACCAAGCAGTGTGACCTCTGTGTGACCTCCGAACCAAACAACTGTACATACAATGAAAGAATAGAGCTCAGAAAGAGATTTATGATCTCTGTGTTTTATAACAGGCTTTTTTGCAGTTTTCAAAGGAAAAAAATATATTAAAAATGTAGTTTAGTTTTAGTTAAGAGTAATAACACTGCTAACAATCGCCCAGAACACTCCAGCAGGTTTTCAATGATCAAGCACAGCTAAAGTAAAGTAATGTCAGTGAACTGTGTGTTTATAGTGTTTGTGTGCGTGGCTTGTGGAACTGCACGGATCTCTCATGTCCTGAGGTCAATCAGTGTCCGGGCTCTCTGATCTTCTCTCCTCGATCGTGTCTGAGGACCTGCTCCAGTCCGAACTCTCCTCTGGATGCGTGTGCTGAACCCGTCCACGGCTGCGTCTGTCCTGAGGGAACCGTGCTGCTGGTGCGTCTCCTCTCAGTTACATAAACACCATCATGCTGCTTTCCTTCATGTGTTCATGCATTTTCTACTGATGACCATGATTTGCTGCTAAAGAGGAACATTAGGGGGCGGGACCTTCTCATTCTAGAAAGCATCTGATTGGACCAAAACTGTTATTCTCTGTTATTGGTCCGTTTCCACAAGAGAAGGACTGTAAATATTAAATGTGTACTGTATGTCTGCATTTTATGACTTATGGTAACATTTTATGACTTGTAGTAACAGAGTAGCATATAGATGTCATTAATGCAAACAGATATTGATATAAAACCACACAACACATGTGGTTTTAATGACATAAACATAATTAATGGCTAAACTAGCGCTCTTTTTAAAACGAATTTGTGTCATTATAACCTCTATAAATCTCTCGTGTTGTTTTCTCTTTTGATTATTCTTTGTGTTTTCAGGGTGATCAGTGTGTAAAGCCAGACGAGTGTCCGTGTCACCACAACGGCAGACTTTATTTCACCAATCACACCATTTCTAAAGACTGCAACACTTGGTGAGCAGGAACAGGAATTTATTTATATATATTTATCTCTCTCCCTATCTTATTTCTTTACTTTTTTGTGTGGATATTTGATTAAATAAATGCGGCCTATAGATATGTTAACTCAACATGCATATGTAAATATAGAAAACATGAAACATGTCCTATAAATACAGCAACTTGCCTGAGCAGCTGAAATGAATAAATATTTTAATATGTAATTAATTTGTGTGCCAATTAATTACACTTCAAATATGGCTGAAAAAGTACTCCCCCCCCCAGCAATTATTGTGTTAAATGAGAAAAGCATCAAATAGACGTTACAAAAAGTAGGTTTAGAATGAAATATTTGATTCAACATATAATTTACTACACATACATTTTAGGCTATGACAGTCATCATTATATTATTTTTTTCATAATCTGCATATGAATTGGTAACTAGATATACAGACTTGTTTATTACAGCTCAGAGGAGGCGTGAATGCATTTACTATGCGGTTACAATTGCATAAATAATGCTGTGAGATTAAAGGGTTTTAAAAGGGTATTAAAGGGAAAACTCACTAAAAAATTTAAATTCTTGCCCTCTTGTTGTTTCAAACCTGTATGATTTTCTTTCTTCTGTGAAGCATAAAAGAAGATCATTTGAGAATTGTCTGAGTATCTATTTATTTTTGTTCATACACTGGAAGCCAATGGTAACCAAAACAACACAACATCAAAAAGATGCTTTGCTTATGATGTGAAATGAAGCACAGTGCTTTTGTAAATGCATGTTACTGTCATATATAAACCTGTTGTTCATGTTGACAGTGTGTGTCGTGAGCAGCGCTGGCACTGCGGTCAGTCGTTGTGTTCTGGCACCTGCGTGGCCACCGGTGACCCTCACTACATCACGTTTGACGGCCGATATTACTCTTTCCTGGGCGACTGTGAGTATGTTCTGGCGCAGGAGAGCAGTGGTTTGTTCAGCGTCAGCGCCGAGAACGTGCCCTGCGGCAGCACAGGAGTGACCTGCACCAAATCTGTCACGCTGACCGAAAAGTTTAACTTATCTAGATTTAATTAATTAATTAAGTCATTTCTATCTGAATGACTGATTGATTGATTGATTTAATTCTAACTGGAATTATTTATAAAATATGTGTATTTAATTTCACTTTATTTTATTTTGATTATTTTATTCATTTATAAGTAACTGCATACAGATAGATTTTTTATTCATTGATAAAGTATATGTATTTTATTTTATTTTATCTAGATTGATTATTTATTTATTTATAATAAATTGTACTCTATCTATATTTATTTGTGTGTAAAGGTATGTATTTCATTTATTTGTTGATTGATAAAAATGGTATTTTAGAATTATTTTATTTATTTTCTTTGAGAATATTTTATTTATTTATAATTAAGTCATTGTATTTATCTAGATTTATTTGTCTATTGATACAAATGTATGCATCTCATTTTATTTAATATCTAGATTATTTAAATAATTTGTAATAATTAATGTTATCATATAAAATTAATAATTTTATTCAGTCTAGATTTATTTATTTGGTTTGATTCTCTGCACCTGTTGTTCGTCTAGGTCTAGGACACCTGTGTTAACTTGAGGAGAATTCACTTCATGCAGCCACTAAAAATGACCAAAAATACCTGATGATTTAAACACAATTCAAACACCCATTGAAGAGAAGTGACCTCAGTAAAGAGATCCTCCGAAATTTAAGATGCGCAGTCACAGACACTAGTGCGCATTTAACTTTACTGTTGACTTGTCAAACACTCGGTTATCTGCCTGTCTTGACTCTCCTTCTTTCTTGAAAGGACCAAGCAGTGTGACCTCTGTGTGACCTCCGAACCAAACAACTGTACATACAATGAAAGAATAGAGCTCAGAAAGAGATTTATGATCTCTGTGTTTTATAACAGGCTTTTTTGCAGTTTTCAAAGGAAAAAAATATATTAAAAATGTAGTTTAGTTTTAGTTAAGAGTAATAACACTGCTAACAATCGCCCAGAACACTCCAGCAGGTTTTCAATGATCAAGCACAGCTAAAGTAAAGTAATGTCAGTGAACTGTGTGTCATGGCCACCGGTGACCCTCACTACATCACGTTTGACGGCCGATATTACTCTTTCCTGGGCGACTGTGAGTATGTTCTGGCGCAGGAGAGCAGTGGTTTGTTCAGCGTCAGCGCCGAGAACGTGCCCTGCGGCAGCACAGGAGTGACCTGCACCAAATCTGTCACGCTGACCGTGGGAAACACGGCCATACACCTGCTGAGAGGTGAAACACACACACACACACACACACACACACACACAGGAGAGTTACTCATCTATAGCAGCTGTTATATTGTTAGATCACTATTGCTTTAATTATAAAAAAAACTAATACATTTATATATTAATATATATTAAGCATATGCATTTAAGTTATTTATTATTTATGTATTAAAGTTTTCATTTATTAAAATTTTATAAGTAAAGGAATACACATTATTTTAGTGTAGAATGTTTTTTATTAACATTGGCATGTTGACAAAAATACTTATTCATCTCTTTATTTTGTTTTTAAAAATAATTGTATTCATATTTAATTTGATTCTATCTAGATTTATTTATAAATATATGTGTTTAATTTAATTTTATCTAGGTTATTTTATATATTCATAATTAATTCATTGTATTAAGCTAGATGCATTTATTCACCGATATAAGTATATGTATTACATTTTATTTGATCTGGATTAATTAATTAATTTATAATGAATTTATTATATCCAAATTTATTTATTTATTTAAAGTTCATTATAACTAGATTTATTTATTGAGAAAAGTATATAAATTTAATGATATTTTATCTAGATTATTTTATTTATTTATAATTTATTGTGTTAATCTAGATATATTAATTTTTTTTAAGTATATGTATTTCATTTAATTTTTTTATTTTTATTTAATTAATCAACAATACATTTTATTCCATCTAGATTTATTTGATTTAATTTTGCACTGTATTGATGTGACAAAAAGCAATTTTTAAGTTACATCAGATCTGATTGCATTCAGATTTATGCAAGTAATATTTTCGCATTGTGTGATTGCACGTTTTTTTCTCTCAGGTAAAGCTGTGATGGTCAACGGGGTTCCAGTGACTCTTCCAAAGTTGTATTCGGGCAGTGGTTTGATTCTGGAGCAGATCGGGTTATTTGTGTCCCTCTCGTCTCGACTCGGAGTCACTCTGCTCTGGGATGGAGGTATGTCCATTCTTATTATTTTATTCCATGATCAGTTATTAGATTCTTTTTAAACACGGTATCTATTACACAGGAATGCGTGTTTATGTCCGGCTGATGCCTCACTTGCGTGGCCAAGTCGGAGGATTGTGCGGAAATTTTGATGGAGATGCAGAAAATGACTTCACCACAAGACAAGGCATCATGGAGTCCACTCCAGAACTGTTTGGAAACTCCTGGAAGATCAGCCCGTCATGCCCTGACGTCTCAGACCAGGATCTCCGTGACCCCTGTGTTGTAAGTAGTACTGCACCAAACAGAATCGCAAAAATAATGCATTTAATTCTTTATAAATTACATTTTCATTGTCTGAATAGAGTAAATGCTCTCATATCTCTTGGATGAACTCTCTATGAATGAATTGCATGTGTGAAATTCTATTAATTAATTACATGTGCTGATGCTGTATTATTTATTTTAAGAATGCATGGATTCTACGTCAAAATTCTGGAAATGTGGATTATTATTTTCATTCTATGGTTAATAAGAGAGTAATGATAAACATAAACTGATAATAAAATTACTTTTTCAATATGCTATTTTTTAATAAACAAAAAATACTATTTTACTAAATTCACTATTTTATTATACTATTTTGTTTAAAACTAAAAATACAAAATACTATTTTTCTAAAATTATAATTTTTAAAATGGTCATAAAAAAACAAAAATGTTTTCCTTAATTACTTTTTATTTTTATATACTATGTTGTCTAAAAACATAAAAAATATTACTAAAATGACTATTTTAACACGATTTTGCCTAAAATATAAGAAAATGTAATCATATTTTACAAAAATTACCATTTTTAATATACTATTTTGGCATTAGAAAATCTAAAAGTAAAAATAAAATCATATTAAACATTAACTTGGCAAATGTTAGGTGAGAAATAAGATTACTAAGATTCACCTTTCCTTGAAGTTTAGGCAAAAACGGTCTCTTCAGAAATTATGTAATTCCTGATTGGACCTTTAGAGTAAGACTTAAAGGCACAATATGTAATTTTCGCCGCTAGAGGGTGCGTATTCAAAATAAACAAATAGACACAGGCGTAGTTTGAAGACGCTGTGACTGAGTGTGGAATCATGGGAGTTGTGGTCTTCATCCTCACAGCTGATGCAATCTGACGGGACTCGGGCAGAAATCGTGTTAATTGATGAGCTAATGATTTATTAACGTAGTAGAATGAAGCAGGGTGAGGCTGAAAGCCGTCGAAGCGAAACGAGGCGCTGAACGAGCGCAACACACGGCTGGAAAGCAGCGGAGCTTTTATTATGCCACAGTCGAGCGCTTCCGCTGCTTCCGGTCGTGCGTATGTGGGGTAAAGCAGCAGAGCTTTTATTATGCCACAGTCGAGCGCTTCCGCTGCTTCCGGTCGTGCGTATGTGGGGTAAAGCAGCAGAGCTTTTATTATGCCACAGTCGAGCGCTTCCGCTGCTTCCGGTCGTGCGTATGTGGGGTAAAGCAGCAGAGCTTTTATTATGCCACAGTCGAGCGCTTCCGCTGCTTCCGGTCGTGCGTATGTGGGGTAAAGCAGCAGAGCTTTTATTATGCCACAGTCGAGCGCTTCCGCTGCTTCCGGTCGTGCGTATGTGGGGTAAAGCAGCAGAGCTTTTATTATGCCACAGTCGAGCGCTTCCGCTGCTTCCGGTCGTGCGTATGTGGGGTAAAGCAGCAGAGCTTTTATTATGCCACAGTCGAGCGCTTCCGCTGCTTCCGGTCGTGCGTATGTGGGGTAAAGCAGCAGAGCTTTTATTATGCCACAGTCGAGCGCTTCCGCTGCTTCCGGTCGTGCGTATGTGGGGTAAAGCAGCAGAGCTTTTATTATGCCACAGTCGAGCGCTTCCGCTGCTTCCGGTCGTGCGTATGTGGGGTAAAGCAGCAGAGCTTTTATTATGCCACAGTCGAGCGCTTCCGCTGCTTCCGGTCGTGCGTATGTGGGGTAAAGCAGCAGAGCTTTTATTATGCCACAGTCGAGCGCTTCCGCTGCTTCCGGTCGTGCGTATGTGGGGTAAAGCAGCAGAGCTTTTATTATGCCACAGTCGAGCGCTTCCGCTGCTTCCGGTCGTGCGTATGTGGGGTAAAGCAGCAGAGCTTTTATTATGCCACAGTCGAGCGCTTCCGCTGCTTCCGGTCGTGCGTATCTGGGGTAAAGCAGCAGAGCTTTTATTATGCCATCCAGTCCTGCTTCCGGTCGTGTGTATCTGGGGTAAAGCAGCGGAGCTTTTATTATGCCACAGTCGAGCGCTTCCGCTGCTTCCGGTCGTGCGTATGTGGGGTAAAGCAGCGCTGTTTTATCATACTAGATATGTTTGAAAGTTCTGTTATAATGCTACTCTGTGTGGTCGTCACCGGTCTATTAAAACACACAACATATTAAAGCGTCTTCGGTGTTTCCATGTTTTCTGCAAAACAAAACCGTAAATCGAGGGGTTAGGACTGGAAGGCGACACAATGACACTATGGACACGGTCCGTTTCACAAGTTAAAATTGCTTATTTCTCTGGATTTAAACATTCTTCGAAACATTTGAGATCATGTAAGTACACAAGTCAGCAAAATATATAACACTGTTCTAGTGGTTTTTGGATATTTTAATAAAAAAATCTTACATATTGTGCCTTTAATTTTAATTTATATAACACTGGCTAAAATGTTCTCTATAAAATCAAAGTAAAACTAAAAGAATAAGAAAATAAAGAATAAATGCATTTATAGTATCACGCTAGTTATTGTAAATGTTAAATTGTTTCAGATCAACCCTCACCGGGTGACGTGGGCCAAAAAGAAGTGTGCGGTGATCAGTCAGGAGATCTTCAGCTCGTGTCACTCAGAAGTGTCGTCTCAGCAGTACTACGACTGGTGTGTCTTTGACGCCTGCGGGTAAGAAACCCACTCACTGAAACTTGATATTTAATGTATCATATGCATCAGGATCTCTATTGTTCATACTGTAGGGCTTTTAAAAGACTTGTGTTTGCTGTGTTTTGCAGGTGTGACTCAGGCGGCGACTGTGAGTGTTTGTGTACGGCTGTAGCAGTGTATGCAGAAGAGTGTAACCGCAGAGGAGCGTATGTGCGCTGGAGGTCACAGGAACTCTGCCGTGAGTCTGCTCAGTGAGTTATTATACCCATCCGACTGACTTCTATACATTTAGTGTGTATAATACTGTGTCCTATTGTGTGTCTCCAGCGCTGCAGTGTGAGAACGGTTTGGTTTATGAGGCCTGCGGTCCTGCCTGTTCTCCAGCGTGTCCCGGCACTCCTTCTGTGTCTGATCCCCTCTGCAGCACCCTCTCCTGTGTGGAGGGATGTTTCTGTCCTCACGGCACTGTGAGACACGGTAAGAGGAGTGTGTGTTTATGTGTGTGTGCCTTATGTGTTCTTCTGATGCGTTTTGCAGTAGTTACGTATTTGCTGTGCGGTTTTAGTTTTTTTGCATACAGGATGTCTGATGTCTGTCTGTCGTCTGCAGGTGACGTCTGTATCCCTCCGTCTCAGTGTCCGTGTGAGTGGGACGGATCTTTATTTCCCGCAGGAGCGACTGTCACTCAGCACTGTCAGAACTGGTCAGTTTAGAGAGACTGTACTGCAGCAAACGGAATTGCAATTTAGTTTTGTAAATATACTCTTTTGGTCAAACTTTCAGAGGGGAATTTACTGAGAATGAATTTCGTGTGCTGATTGTTTTGTTTATTTTAGGGATGCACAGATTTTGCATTGAAATACTGGCCATGCTGATTATTATTTTCATTCCAAGGTTAACAAAGGATAAATAATAAACAGACAAACTAATATTAAAATATTTTGTCTTAAAAAATAAATAAATACTAAAATTACTATTTTAATATATGATTTGGTCTAAATACAAAAATAAATATAAAATACTATTTCACTAAAAATATAATTTTAATATACTATTTTTTCTAAAAACATAAAATCTAAAAAAAACTTAATAATAAAAAATACCATTTTACTAAAATTACTATATTTAAAAATATTATTTCTGTCTAAAAACATAACAAAATGTACTAAAATTACTATTTTAATATACTATTTTGTCTAAAAATAAAACCATTAGTTTTAAACACTGCAAGTGAATTTATGCTTAAAACAGTAATATAATACATATTCATTATTCATAATACATTATGAAAGACAGAAAATCATTGTTAAACCATTAATGTTATTAAACATTAACATGGTAAATGTTATCTAAATGTAAATTTAGGTGAAAAATAAGCATTCCAAAAAAAAAAATAAAGATCTAATATCAATATTTTGTATATCCCTAATTTATTTGCTCATGTTGTCTGTGTTTTAGCTAAAGGAATTATGCAAATTATGTAATGATGCATAAACACCCAAAAATGATTGCTGAAAGCAATGTTATAAAGAAAGCAGGAGTGTTTGAGTTGAAGTAAATAACAATTAATTGGTTAATACGTTTTTTGTATTGGTATGATTTTCCATCTAAATTTTCTTTGCTCTTTTAATCCTAAATTCTGTGTTCTTCAGCTCTTGTTCTGATGGTTTGTGGCGTTGTGCTGGATCTCCATGTCCTCCTCCGTCTCTCTGTGAGGACTCAGAGTTCCTGTGCTCCGGCGGCTCTCAGCGCTGTATTCCCGCAGTCTGGCTCTGTGATCATGAGGACGACTGCGGCGACGGTTCGGATGAAGTCTGTCCCTCCACCTGTCCTCCAGATCAGTTCCGCTGCTCCGGTGGGGCCTGCTTACCGCTGGAGCTCAGGTGTAACGGCCATCCCGACTGCGCCGACCAATCAGACGAGGACTTCTGTGCCCCGACCTCACCAGAGCCCGGCTGTCCGGCCGGAGAGTTCAGGTGTGTGAACGGACGCTGTCTGCCGGCTCATAAAGTCTGTGACGGGAGACTGGATTGTGGATTTGCTGATGATTCTGATGAACATGGTATGTTTGATGAATTTCTAAATCTCTAAATGATCAACATGATCAAAATTTGCTGATAAACCTGTTGCACACGATCTACTCCATGGCTTGATAGTTTAGATTTTTTCAAGTAAAAGGTCTTAGTATCACGTCCAGCTTCAGCTGGAGCTTCACGTGTCTTTCTGCTGTCAAATCTTGACTGATTTTTATCAAGTAAACCTCCGAATAACTGTAGTCATATTTTTAGATGAACACATACTAGACTGAAGCAGCTCAGCTTTACTTGATTCTCCATCAATCGTTTTCTAGAAAAACCTCAAATCTGATCCTCAAGATCTTTTGAGGAGCGTTTGTTTCCAGAAGCTTTACTTTCACTGTTCCTCAGCGGAGGAATGATCTTCACAAGCCTCCAGAACATCTCACATCTTCTGAGGAGCCTTTATTGCTTCATCTCTTGATCAGCACTGGATTGCATTGCATTATATGTTTGGATCATTTCAGTCTCATCTTACTGAGACATATTATTGGAGATATAGATTGATGACTGATATTTATATGATCTTATGTAGGTACTTACTTGCTATACTTTTATAAAGATCTCCTTGTTTTACATTACAAGCATCAGAATTAAAAATTTTGGCCATGTAAATATGAGAATCTGCAATAAATTAAATATTTTTGTCTGTAAACATAAAAATAAAAATGTAAGTTTTAAACGCTGCAAGTGAATTTTGGCTTAAATCAGTCATTTAATATAAAGTATAATAAACAATCATTAAATTATTTAATAATGCCATTAACATGGCAAACATTATCTACATGTAAATTTAGGAGAAAATTAGCATGCCGATAACTGATATGATATTAATATTTTGTACATCCATAGTTTATTTGCAAGTATTGTCAGTATTTTAGCTAAAGAAATTATGCAAATCAGATGATGCATAAACACCCAAAAATATTACTGAAAGCAATTTGTATGAAGAAAAGAGTCATTTTAGTTGATCTAACTGATTACATTACAAGCGATTAGAAGTTGGTGTTTTCTCTCCATATTCTCACTTTCATTCTGTATAAGGCAAAAAGCTGATGGACCAAATATGATAACAGCTATAACACATATGCAAACTTTTTTTTTTTTTTTGTCTAAAGGTAAAGAATTTTTTTTCTGACTATTATTTCATATGTCAGGCTTTACAGCAGAATGCTGTCATCATTCACATGATAAACAGTCACTGTATAAGTTCCTGAGTGAAGTTAATGCTGAGTGTTGTTGCAGACTGTGGCGTGTTGTGCAGACAGGATGAGTTCCGCTGTTCGTCGGGTCGTTGTGTGTTGTTCCTCCACCGCTGTGACGGTCACGATGACTGCGGGGACTACAGCGATGAGCGAGGGTGTGTGTGTGCCATCGGAGAGCTGCAGTGTCCTGGAGATCAGTGTGTGTCTGCAGAGAGAGTGTGTGACGGTCACAGGGACTGTCCATCCGGCATCGATGAGCTCATCTGTCCTGTCAAAGGTATCCATGCAAAACAGGACTATGCTTTTCTGAAATTAAAATTAAAATAAAACAATTTTTTCTGAACACGTACCAATGCTCATTAGTTCAAAAAGTGCATTTATTAGAAACTAAACTGCAAAACCATTTCTTTCTTATTTTGCACGCATAAAGACAATCAACTAAATATTCTACAAATATTCTACCCCTTTCTTGAAAATAAAAAAATTACATTTATTAATGTAAACATTTATTTTCAAAGGGTCAAGAACTGCAAAAATAATAAATTCAGAAATTATGATAGTAACGACATCAAAAGGTCATTAACATATGACTTTTAAATCAAATAAAACCTCAAATCTTTAACTCAAAATTATAACTTCAACTCTTTAATTACATAAAACATAATTACAAAAGACCAAAATGTACTGTATATAAAAACTTATTCAAATGCCTAAAACAAAAAATTTATTTACGACTGTTTTTGGTGCAGGAAACACTGAACTTTGACCTGAATTATAACTGAGCTATTTACTATTTACTTTATATATAATATATATAATGTATCATAATAATACAGTAAAAATAAACAAATAATAACTCAAATTATTCATCACTGTGTCTGTCACGAGACTCTGTTCCCCTTTCAGGCTCTGTCTTTACATTTATTTTGAAAGATGAAGCTCGCGATTATGGTAAGGGGCGTTACATTTCCGACGAGTGCTTGCGGCGTTCGGCCAATCACAATGCACCGGGTCAGCTGGCCAATCAGAGCAGACTGCGCTTGTCGGAAGGAGGGACTTTGTAGAAAACGAAGCCTTTGAGAGACGTGGGGCATTGAGGACCTACAATAATGTACAGTATTTGAAAAATAATGTGTTTTTTGAACATTAAAGCATGTCAACATATTCTGTTACACCAAATACACAAAATAATGATCTTTAAAAAAGCATCATATGACCCCTTTAAAAAATTGAATCAAATAAAAACTCTTACAGTTAAGTATTGACAGTATCATCTGATTCAAAGATTAACTGAAAGTTTGATGCAGTTATAAAGCATTTTTTATTATCACAACTGATGCTGTGATTTCAGGATGCAGTCAGTTTGAGTTCAGCTGCACTAGCGGTCAGTGTGTGCCGTTAGTGTGGCGCTGTGACGGCGAGACAGACTGTCTGGATGGGAGCGATGAGAAACGCTGTTCCCGCACATGTCAGTCTGACCAGTTTCTGTGCCAGACCGGAGACCAGTGCATCCAACACCAGCAGCTGTGTGACGGGACGCCCCACTGCAGAGATGCCTCAGACGAGAGCGTGGACAACTGCGGTGAACACACACACACACACACGCACACACGCATGCACACACATGTTTGTTTCTGTGAATTGTGGGGACTTTTTTCATAGACTTCTATTGTTTTTATACTGACCAAACATTATTTTCTATCCCCTAAACCTACCCCTTACAGAAAACCTGGTTGCACTGTTACACTTTCAGATAAACATCATTTACTATTTGTAATAATTTTTTCCCTCGTGGGGACCGCAGACTGGCCCCCACAATGTCAAAAATTTTAGGTTTTACTATCTTGTGAAGATATTTGGTCCCTACAATGTAGCATAAACAAGTACACACACACAAACACACACACTAGTTCCTCTAGTATTCCTAAAAGAAGTTAGTCATCTCATTTCCCACAATCACTGAGTGCATCTGTTCACCGTGCACACAGAAGCCACTTTTTGTTTTTGTTTTTTGTGTTGTTTTCATATGTGACCCTGGAGCACAAAACCAGTCATAAGGGTACATTTTTAGAAATTGAGATTTACAGTATACATAAGCTGAATAAATAATCTTTCCATTGATGTATGGTTTGTTAGGATAGGACAATATTTGGCTGAGATACAACTATTTGAAAATCTGGAATCTGAGGGTGCAAAAAAATCTAAATATTGAGAAAATCATCTTTAAAGTTGTTCAAATGAAGTTCTTAGCAATGCATATTACTAATCAAAAATTAAGTTTTGATATATTTACAGTAGGAAATTTACAAAATACCTTCATGGAACATGATCTTTACTTAATATCCTAATGATTTTTGGCATAAAAGAAAAATCAATAATTTTGACCCATACAATGTATTGTTGGCTATTGCTACAAATATACCCCAGCGACTTAACACTGCTTTTGTGCTCCAGGGTCACATATGTATTATTTTTTCTCGCCAGGGTCCACACGGATTCCTCCCTGTCCGGGAAGTTTCTCCTGTGATAACCGCACATGCGTTAACATTTCACGCGTGTGTAACGGGATTCCTGATTGCCCTAAAGGAGAGGATGAGATACTCTGCGGTTAGTTTCTACTAAAACAAAATGTCTAGAATGTTTATTGAGATGACTATTTAATTAACTATAATCAATAGAGCTGTTTATTCTATATGCAGAATGACATTATAAAAAAAATATGTATGTATGTTGAATTTTGTGAAACGCATCACAGATACACACAAAAATAATATTTTTCATTCTTAATTATTAGTATTCATTTAAGTTCATTTCAGAAGCAAAGAGGTTGAATTTTTGGGCAATTATGTTTTAATCATACTGTAGATGTTTTATTTACACACATGTAGATTTCTTACATTAACATTTAGTCATTTAGCAGACGCTTTTATCCAAAGCGACTTACAAAGTAGAAGCAATCAGACCAACGAGAGAGCAACAATATACTAAATATAATAATATAATATAATAAAAGTGCTGTGACAAGTCTCAGTTAGTGTAGCACAGTGCACATATCAAGGTGTCTTTTTTAATTTAAATAAATTAGACCAAAACAAATAGAATAGAATAGAATAGGTAAGTGCTAGTATTAATTGGTATTAATTAGTATTAATAAAAAATAATAACCATTTCTTAGTTTTTCCAAATTTTGTGGCATTTAAAAATTATTTAAAACATGTATTTCAATCCTTAAAGCAGCTGACAAGAAGGATCACCTTAAAATTCTATAAATTATGTATATATATATATATATATATATATCACATCAAATTTGACAGAGAAATCACCCCCAAAATATAATTTAAAGTCATTATTTGAGAAAATCATCAAATAGATATTACAAAAAGTAGCTTTAGAAGGACATTTATCATTTTCCTTTTTTTTTCTTTTTTTTTTAGAAAATTTGGGTGAACTATCCCTTTATTTTTTTTATTTTCCCCCCCCCCCCCAGATTTTTATTAATATGGAAATACGATTTTTTTTTTTAATGAAAGGATACTCTAAAATAAGAAACTAAAATTGCCAGTAGGTGGTGGTAAATGTCTTAATAAATAAGTCATTGAGGCATTCATTCATTCATTTGATTCGTTCAAACTGCTGATTCATTCAGGAATGAAGTAAATGGCTCTCTTTATGAATAGCCCATTGAATCATTGGTTCTCTTGATTCGTTCAGAACGTGGATTCATTCAGAAACGAATTATTTGGAGACACACAACAGTTCTGCTGTGAGAACTGTGATAATTATTATATATCTATGTAATAATGTATAATTTGTATAATTCTCTTTCTCCAGATAAAGTCAGTCCCACCACAGCGCCACCTAGTGAGGGAAACGCCAGTCGCGTTTGTCTGGAGTTCACCTGTGCTGATGGCTCCTGTGTGCCCTTCAACGCGGTACACTGATCTGCGTGAAATTAATATTGATGTGTTTATTTGTGTTTATACATCGAGAATACCACCTTGTTTTTTTAGACATTTACCTTGAAGTCATTCATGATGTGGTTGAGGCAGTGTGGTCTGTCTGTCCTTGTGTTGTTTAGTTGTGTAACGGTGCAGCAGACTGTCCCGCAGACGCCTCAGATGAGACGGGCTGTGGTGTCTGGGGTCCCTGGAGCTCCTGGAGCCCCTGCAGCCGAAGCTGTGGATCAGGAACCATGAGCCGACAGAGACGCTGCAGCCTGGAGGACTCAGACGGACACTGCAGAGGAGAGAAAACACAGCGACAGCAGTGCTACTCCACCGCCTGCCCCGGTACAATATATTACCCCATGTAAATACATACCTGATGTCTGAACGTTCTGGTGTCAGATGTTGAGTTTTTGGTTCTGTCTGACAGTCGATGGCTACTGGCTGCCGTGGGTCACGTGGTCGAACTGCAGTAAAGGTTGTGGCGCTGTTGAAGTCCGTCAGAGAGAGTGTTTCCCACCACAGAACGGAGGCAGAACCTGTGCAGAACTACCTGGAGAAACTAACCTGACTACTGACATCAGTAAGAACCAGAACAAACAACCTCCAGCAGATGAACCGCTTCAGCTGGGCTCTAGTTTAAATCTTCACTGGTTACCAGTCTACCTCCAGTTATACCCATAACCATTTTTTATCCATCTAAAATCATTTTGGAGCTCGTCCAATCTGGTCTAAGTAGTGTCAGTTTCAACAGGGGATGTTAGAATAATTGTACATTTAAAAAAAAAAAAACACATTATATATATAAAAATCTGGGTTATGTAAACTAAAAAATTTTTTTTAATTATTTTTATTATAATTCTCATTTTTAAATTGATGTAATAAAATAAGCTGAATAAATTGATGAAAAACAAAAATAAAATAAAAAATAATACCAACTATATGGACATAAAAAAAATTATTACAATTAATAAATACTAACACATTAAAACATTAACTAAAAAAATTTTTTAAATTAAAAATATTAATACAATAACATCACAAAACACAAAAAACAGTCATGGATCATTCAGGTAATGACACAGAGTATTTAGAATCAAGGGTATTATATTTCAGACCATTTACCAAACAATATTTTATTTATATTCACCAGTTACAGACAGTAACTGCTGAGCTAAAGCCCTTGTGGTTTCTGTATCAGCAGTGTATGTTTAAACTCAGTTTATAGTGATGTATAGAGCAGTGCAGGTCGGTTCATCTGCTCTTTTTTTGTTAAATGAGCTCCATGATGAAGCACTCAATGTTTCCCAGCTGAACACAGATGTGTTTTTCAGAGCCATGTCCTCAGGACGGCTGCGCTAACGTCTCTTGTCCCGTGGGCCTCGTCAGACATAGCTGTGCGCCGTGCCCTTTGACCTGCGCTCACATATCCGGGGCAACAACATGTGACCACAACTCCAGGTGTTTCACAGGTGAGCCGTTAACAATGCTTTACCTCTCAGCTTCTTTAATGTCACTGATGGCCATTCATAAATGCCAATGCTGTGGTAATATAAAGATTGTTTTACTGTCCTGTATATTCGTGGTTGTCTGTTTCCTCACTGGTTCTGTTGTTTCGTGTCAGGCTGCTGGTGTCCTGATGGGACGGTCATGAATCACGAGCAGCAGTGTGTTCGGCCGGAGGAGTGTGTGTGTGAGGTGTCTGGGGTTCGATACTGGCCCGGTCAGCAGGTCAAAGTGGGTTGTGACATCTGTGTGTGTGAGCGAGGACGAGCCCAGCGCTGTCACACCAACCCAGAGTGCTCAGGTAAACACACACACTCAAATAAACACACACTATGTTAGGTTTCTGTGAATTGTTGGGACTTTCCATAGATGTCTATTCTTTATACTGAGCAAACGATATCCCCTAAACCTACCCTTTACAGAAAACCTGTTTGCCTTGTTACACTTTCAGATAAAGACCATTTAGTATTTTCAATAATTTTTTCCCCACAATGTAAAAAATTTCAAGTTGAACTATCCTTTGGTCCCCGCAATGTAGGATAAACAAGAACACACACACATTCACTCACACTCATTTAATAAAACATTCACACGTTCATGCTTCTCTGATGTCAGTTAATGGTCACATGACATGCAGGTACACAAATAAAATACTTCATAATTTTTAGTGTTTTATTTGATTGGTTGAAAGTGTTTTATTTCAGTGTATTTTATATTAAAGTAATGAATTGTAATTTTTTATTATTTCAATAAAAAAAAATTTAATCAACCCATATGCCCTGTGCAAAAAATCACTAATTTTTGATTGTAATTCCTATGTATACATTATGCTAATACTTGTTAATTTGTTTTTAATTGATGGTGATTTTAATTTAAATTGTTTTTAATTGATGGATGTACGTTTTTTGATTTATGATTTAGAAAAATAATTTTATTTATGATCAAGAAATTAATATTGAAATAATTTAACAACAATTTTGCATGTTCACGGTTCTCTGATGTTGGTTAATGTTCAAATTACATGCTGGTAAACAAATAAAATGTTATGTATTTTTTATTAAGAGTTTTATTTAAATGTTTTTTTTTTTTACAGTTTAATGAATTATTAGCTTTTCATGAACTCACAAACGCCTTACAGATTTCTTACGAACCCCATTTTAGAAACCCTTATTTAACAAATGCAGTTTTATGTTCTGTTGTTTTCCTGTTGAAACAGAAAATTGGGATGAGACACAAAACATTATTATTTTTTTAAATAGTCAGTAAATTTGAGTTTACATCACAAACCAGCAAAGCCATGATTTGGTACTTGCTATTGCTTAAATGTTATGATTTTCTTGCTGTTGCTTGTTAAAGTGTGTCCTGCAAGGTTTTTAATCACTGCACATGTGTGTTTTCATCAGTTCACTGTGGCTGGTCGTCCTGGTCTCAGTGGGGCGAGTGTTTGGGTCCGTGTGGAGTTCAGAGTGTCCAGTGGTCTTTCCGCAGCCCGAATAACCCCTTAAAACACGGAAACGGCCGACAATGCCGAGGAATTTACCGGAAAGCACGACGGTTAGTATTAATATGTTGCAAAGCATCCTGAAGATCTGGGAAATGTAAAACACACATCTGCCTTTTTGCTTTAGCAGATGTTTTGATTAGTCACATTAATGCATTCAGCAGATGCTTGTGTCCAAAAACTACACGCATTGCATAAATGCATTATACATTTGATTAATACAAGCTTTCCCTGGAAATCGAACCCATGACCCTGGCATTTCTAGTGCAGTGCTTTAGTGGATGTTTATGATATTTTTCATGCGGTTTGTTTGTTCTCAGCTGTCAGACAGAGCCGTGCAGTGAGTGTGAATATCATGGACACACACATGCGGTGGGAGAGCGCTGGAAAGGCGGTCAATGTCAGATGTGCCAGTGTTGGCCTAACCTCACGGTGCAGTGCATCCCGTACTGTCCTTACACTGCCACTGGATGCCCACAGGTGTGTGTGTGTGTGTGTGTGTGTGTGTGTGTGAGTGTG